AGGTACTAAGAGAGAGGTCGGGAGCAATGATGGTGCTAGGCATGTCTGCGGGTACATCGGGTGTCAGGTCAGGGGTGGGGAGAGTGATTGGGATGTCAGGGACGCGTGCCACCGAAATGCTGTCCCAATTGCTAAAACCATGATATCAGCCCACGTGGAACGATGCGAATAGCACATTAACGTACATATCGGCAAACCACTCAAATGCCTTGATTTGTTCAATGGTCGGTCTCCTGGAAGGATTAGGGTCGAGGCACTACATGACGTTGCATTCCGGATAAATTTCCGTCGATGATCTCAACCAGAAACTTACCTTTCTAATCAAATGTTCGGTAGCCGTGTCAGTCGCCTCTAATGGGGCAACAGGCAGGAGACCGCTCAAAATATAATTTCGAATCATATCAGGGCATTCTAGGGTTTCCTGATACCACGGATGCTACAACCAACACAATTCATTTTAGAGCGCGCAGGTCCATGCAAGACGTACCTTTCCGGTAATCATCCATATCAGCACAATCCCGAGCGCCCAACAGTCAACCTCGAGCCCTATCTCCCAACCAAAGAGCATCTCGGGGGCCTCACACCACTCGCGTGCGCTCGCACGTAAGCCGCGCTGTCTCTCTTCGATAGATGGGGCCGCCTTTTGACGCGTAGCGACCACGATGGCGTGTTCAAACCCACCAATGCAAACATGTCCATTTACGCGAAAGAGGACTGTCGACGGTCGGATGTCGCTGTGTATGATGCCAGCGTTATGGACGAATGCGATGCCTGATGCCTACCAAGACTCAGCACGACACCGAGAGAGAGGAGAGAAGACTCACCATCTCACACGCCCACCGCTTCATGCGTACGCTGTCCACGGGTCCTTCGGCTTGGATGAGCCCCAACAAGCTTCCCCCGCCACAATGCTCCAGCACGATGAAAAGCGTCTGACCGTCGTCCCAGAAGCGCGATGCGCGTTGGACGTACGGATTTTCCCCGAGGTTACGCATGGAGAGCACCTCCAGCGCTGCGCGTTCGGCTAGCGCCGCACGAGACAATGGCAGGCGGTGTGTCCGGATCGCATATAGGGCGTGACGAAGGGCAGCTTTCTTGGTGGATGGCGCGCAGCCAGAGGAGACCGCGAGGGAGAGGTGCGAAGTCTGTGTACGGTGCAACGTTCGCAAGATAGTGTAGGACTCTTGTGGGGCCACCGACGGGGAGGGATCTAGAATGGGCTCTGCCGGAGGGCTGAAAGGGGGCGTGGGAAGGGCGTGCGCAGGAGACGTCTTTAGTTTGGGCGAGATGATCATGACTTCCTGTAAATTCTCATTGTGAGTAAAGGATGAAGCCTGAGCCCAGAATACACATGCCTCAACTTCATCATCCTCCCACTCAGAGTCAACATCTCTGATATTTGTGAGCTGCTTGGGTAGATATCAGCGCCCTGCATCCCTACCGCAGAAGACACACACACCTCAACGTAGTAGCTAGCCTCAGCCCGACTTGATAGACGCTTGACATCCTTGGCAGGGTCTGGGACCGTATCAGCGGGGCTTTGGAGGATGTCGTGGGGGTGGTGAAATTAAGAAACGCTGAAAATGATGCCTGAAACGACGAAATGATCAGAATTGCGCCAAACGCTTGGTGCTCTGGGTCATACGTACGGAGAAGGGTACAGTATCGAAAATATCTGCGTCTAACACAGGCGGCGTGTCCGGATATGCTTGAGAGCGGGGCGTATAGACTCGCACTCCGATTGTGGAGGGACGCGGGTACATTGGTCTGGAACGAGTCGAACGGTTAATACAACCTCTACGAATGAGAGGTAAGGACACTTACTGGAGAGGCACGGAGAACCATGGACCTGCGGGAACCTGGGATCAAGAAAGGCATGAAATGAGCAGATGGTTTCATTCAGTTCTGCGGTGGTTGTATTTGCACGTCGAATGAATTCCATTGTACTCTACTGGTGAATGATGATGAGCCTCATTCATATCTGTGTCCTGCTAGCTGAGATCTGAGTAGCGAACAGGTGACTATCATATTAATAATCACACAGCACAGCACATGTGTGTATATCCAGTTGGAACCCCAAACTTATGTACGGTAGAGAAACAAATGTCGTACGGAGAATGTTAAAACAGAGAGAGCACGAAATTGGACAAATGTAGCACAAATGACGTCACGAGGCGTACTTAGAATAGTGCGTATCGGCGAGATAAATGCAAGACATGAAAAGTGGAACACTGTCCAACAATAAGCGTACAGCAGGTGCCAACATCCAGAGAGCATATCGTACCTCACAATGGGGCTGAACTTGAAGGTACTATTGACGTAACGGAATGTTACCTATCGTTGGCACCTGGTGACGCAGAATGCCTGGGCTGCGAGTCGGCGTCTATTGGTGACACAGCCTCATTCCGAGACGTTCCAATTGGTGGGGGCGGCGTGTCTTGGACCGTCGTCACGCTAGGATGAGTGGATAGCTCTTGGGCTAATGGCAAGGCTACATGTAACGAGATAGGCGTGACATTGGCAGGTACAGGTGGTGGGTTCGATGTGGTAGGAGATGTAAAAGGCTGGGTAGTTGGTATGGTGGGGCCGGATGGAGAAACACGGGTCGAGTCCGGAACTATAGTTGTAATATTGGGTGTGGTGTTGGTAGTAGGTAGATGTGAAGGACCAACACGGTTGCAGATACAAGGGGGGTAGGCTCGTGCTTCTTCTCCATCGTGGCGCACATCCTCGCCAAGGGCTCGACACGCAACGGGCGGAGCATCAGTACCGGGATGCAGTGCGATATAAACACCGACAATGCGGCGCAGGGTTGAGAGTGCTTGTCTCCCAATATAGGCCCCTAAGTTTTGCTGCGCGGTGTCTAAAGTTGTGTTCCATAGTTCACAAAAGCCAACCTGGAGCTCGGGAAGGGTGTTTCTGGCATCAAACTTGCTCAACAAAGTCAACGTGTCGTCCACTGGTTTCATTTGACCTGGTAGAAGCTGGTGGCCCTCCAACCGCTGCACGAATTTGATGAGATTTGCGAGTAACAAACTATCTCCATTCCGAACGTATCTCTGAAGGTCCGCCGCCGACACATTGAGCTGACCCTCCATGGCCTGGAACCAACGGTCATCGGATCCACGAGTCTGCGCGGTGATAAGGGCGGTGACACACTGTGCCTCGACGCCGTCGACTGACGTGGCGAGAAGCCCCAAGTCCGTCCACTTGAAGACGCCCGTGCCGATGAAACGAAGGGACTCTTCAAGAGTCGTCGCTTCGGGAACCGGTCCGATTCCTAGTACCTTCATGCATGTGTTGCTCCGCTGCTGTCTAACAGATTCAGTGACCAGACCGGATGAAAGGGAACGATCCATTAATTGTAAAACTGCATTTGATAGCCTTTCCGGGGTTACTGCGTCAAGAACTTTTTGGGTATTCGTCACCGACGAGGAGTTGAAAAAGCCAGGAATAGCCGCAAGGAACTGGTCTAGTCCATCTTCCTCGTCCGTATGATTAAAAGTCCATAACAGCACTTGAACATCGAAGTCCTCGAATGATGTCAGAGCTGAGGCCTCCATGCGTTTGATCAGGCCGCCTCGTAACTGCTCGAAATGTTCTTTCACCCGACCTGAGAGACTAGTCTGCGTCCGAGCGTTGATAAAATCGCATATGGGGCGACGTGTAACGATGCTCTGTAAAACCCAAGGGAAAAACCACCCTAATCCTCCATAGCAGAACCAAAAAAATTTGGAAAGTGGTGTATAGTACGGACTGTCATGGCGGAACAACGGCATGAAGGAGATGCACAGGTACGAAGCACCGACGATGCTAACGCATGACAGAACGGCGATGAAAACTGGACGGTTTATCCCGAACAGAAAGATAGGGAGGCCGGCAAAGAATAGGGATACGGATACGTGGAGAAGCCCGGGCAGCGCCTCGACTACTGTGGGAAGATACAACTTCTCCACCCCTTCCGCGAAATATGCACGAATCCGTGCGCGTTTGTCAAGGCGGTCGTGCGTCCGGGTCACCCGGAGGTATCGACGCGCCCACTGTTGCAATAAAGTCGCTAAAAGCGCACATGTAATGCTGAGTATGAGGCTCAGGAACCACAGCACATTGACCCAAATGGCCGACAAAGATGGTTTGAATTGGGATGGATCAGAGAGGGTGGAAGGAAGAGGAAGGACGGGACCAGTTGAGCTGCCGGTGGCTGTAGTATTATACAGGTGTGCCATGTAGAAAGCAGTGGTGTCTTGAGGGTTTAGTTGAAGGCCCTGAATGGACACTATGAGGAATGCAGCGACGGTGGCCGAGAACAAACCGGTCTAGGAGACCAAGTTGGTAAAATGTAGAAAATGAGGATATATTCACTTCTACATACGAAGATAAGGATACCATCTGCGTCTCCTTTCCAGCTATCGGTCGTCTTCTTGTCTTCGTCTTCGGCTCTCTTCAGATAAATGGATAATAGCGCCCCCGATCCGTCGGAAAATCCACTTTTTGCGGGGTGTGTGTGACTGGATGTGCGGGGTGCTTCTGCAACATTGGTAGCGTTTTTTTCGGGACCTTTACGGGTCAGGTGGACTAAAGTGGGAACCCAGTCAGATGAGACGGCTCACCTGCAGCAGCCCCTGAATGGGATGGATCCGGTATTGGTCCCGATTCGACGTCGTGAGGCATCAGTGGAGGGAGTTGAAGTCAAGTTGATGCTACACTTACACAGCCGACCTGACTGCACTTCGTTGGCTCGGCAAAATTATGTAATATCCTATTATTGGCAGTGGGCACTGGAGCTTCCTTTTTCGTTATAGTGTTACAATGGCTGAATAGTCCCGTAGAAAAAATCGATGTCGCATTCAGCAGGTTAGAGGTGTTGACAATGGTCTGACTAAAAAAGGAAATTTGTAACCTACACAACTTAGCAGCACCACAGTCAGAGGCAATATGAGTACCCGATTCCAATATTTGAGTTTCACTGACGGACAACGATGGCATCTCACTAGTAAAAATGCCAGGACCGTGGATTGAACACGGGACCTCCAGAATGCACCCAATATGCAGGAAGTGTCGTCACTTCAGTCTGTTGCTCTCCCAGCTGAGCTACCCCGGCCTCTATACATTGGTGGATGCTGTACTATAGTGAATGTAGACCGGCCCTCACGACCTCTCAGGTTAGATAGGTTTCCATTACCATCATTCTGCAAGATGTCAAATCTCCGGACCTTAGTCCGCAAATTCCTGCGCCCATCCGCGATTGCAAATTCCCCGAACGTGAACGGGCCCTCCATCCTCCCAGTTGTCGGTGCTCCCTACCCCGCCGCTCCGGTCCCTCGCTCCCATGAGGTCCGCGCGAGAAGTTACTGGCACCCAGCCCCCAGCTGGCAAGGTGCTCGAGCCGGACTGTCCACGGTGCCGCGCAGAGCAAGCCCATCTCGGGAATCCCCGATCAGACCGTCTCCATCTCCTCCCGGCAAGGCTGCGGCGGCACAGACCCGCTCTCAGCCCAAGGCCACCCCCCCGCACGCCTTCACCGTAGAAACTGCTGGTTTCGACCTACAGGCGTCCATCTCGCTGGATAAACAGTCCCAACCCACCGTCCGGATCTACACGGACGGTTCAGCCCATCCCGACCGAGCTGGCGCCGCGGCCGTCCTACTGAGGGAGGGCAGGGATCCTCGTGTCCTTCGCCTTCCACTTCTGGCCAACCCAAGATTCACAGCTCGCGAAGCCGAGGCTGTTGCTCTCCTACTGGGTCTGCATTTGCTTGCGACCGAAAGAGAAAACCTCGTCCCTTGTTCAATGAGCACAGATTGTCAGGAGCTCATCAAAACGATCCAGGCTACGTTCCCTAGTTCTGGCCTGCATGTCAAGAGGCTGCCAGTGCTTGGAGAATTTTATAAACAGGCCAATTTTCTTGCATCTATGAACAGGCATGGTCCCTACTCATTGCAGCTGCGCTGGGTGAAAGGACATTCTGGGGTAAGGGGTAATGTCATTGCTAATCGGGAAGCGCGGATTGCGGCTATATGGGGGTTGTCAAGCCCATCGGATCTTCTCCCCCCCATACTCAGGCAGAATAGTATACTCTGGACCTACAGAGCTTCTCCCGTTGAATAGAGATCTGCGCTTCCTCTCGGACACCACCGTCTAGACTATTATTTTCCCTCTTGGGTCGTTAGGTATCTGGAATTTAGTTGGTGTTGCAGGTACTTCGAGCAATGATTGTATACATATTACGGATGCATTACTAGCAATCTCACAGCAAAACCTTTGTAAAGTCAATACACATCCGTTTGACGTTGCGCTCCTGCGCGACAGCCTCGACCATCTCCCGCGAGATCGAGATCGTCGTCGCATCGCCCTCACCGTCCCGCCGAAGGAGCAGTCCGCACTCGTTTAGCGCAAACGCAGCATCCTCGACGCGCAAGTTCGTCGCACGCGCGAGGTCTGCGAGCGTACAGCGTACCACAACATGCACTGCTGCGCTCCCGTCCAGCGCGGGCACTGTCTCGTACGTCCTTTCAAGAGGCATGTACGCCGCGGGCCCTGCGCCGACGCTAAAACTGTCGCGCGTTGCGGGCGATGCACTGCCACCATCCGGCGAGCTTGGTAGGGTAGACTCGCCGTCCCAGCCCTTGGCACGCTTCGTGCGCTTCTGCAAGGAGGGCGTCACGTCAGTATTTGTGCGGACGTGTGAGAGATCGGGTAGGTGGCCGACGGTCCTGATTGGAGGCACGTCAGGCGGGAGCGCGGAAAGAAGTTGGCTGGTTGTGTGCAAGTGTAAGGGCGAGTCGGCCAAGGAGGTGAATGCCAGCTCAAGCGCGTACCGAAGGAAGCGGATGATGGTGGACACCCAATAGGCTAGATAGCTGCGTAGACCAAGGTCGGAGAGCGGACGTTCAGGAGTTCCAACGCGACCTGCGCGGCGAGAGAGTTCATAGCCTAACAAGCAGGTTAGCCAAGATCGTAGAGAGGAAGAGACGTCTGCTTACTGAATTCGATCAATAGCATTCCATAACCCTTTTTCTGATACGGAGGAAGGACCACGATGCAAGCGAGGTTATAGTCGTCATAGGATATCTTTTCCTGTCCAAAGCTCAGATAAGGCGCTGAACAAATCATGTCTATCACTTGCCTTCGAGAAGAACCCAAGGACGTGGTCTCGTTGTGAGTCAGCGTCGGTAAAGATGTAGAATAGGACTATCCGTATAGATAAGCAGTATATCCCCTCGACGAGGACATTAATGCTCACAGTTATCGCAGTCGAAGAACAACGTCTTGATATCGATAAACAACTTCCCGAACAACGACAGGTTCTGGCAGTATAGCTGCTCTCCCGGCATAAGAGAAAAATGACAGCTCCATGGTGATTTTTACACCCGCACCTTTTCCTTCGCGCCGTCCACCTCCCAGATCGTGTGGGCGCCTCTTTGGTACACCTTCCTACCTGGCGGGTGCTTACGCATGCACCTCCTCTGTACGACCGCGCCCGTGCGGGATGAACACCCCCTCCATATGCTGGGTGTTAGGGGAGCTGAACGCACCATATGTACCTCCCACGACGTGCCGTCGGCCATGTATTTGAAACACCGATCGCACACCCACAGGACGCCGCCCGTGTTCTCGCGATTGACCGCGCCTGCGAAGAGATCCATCGTACGCCCATGTCCGATGACATCTTCACCGTCCCCGTCCGTGAGCGGATATGGTGAGAAGTACCTGTAGCAGGCGGGGTGACGTCAGTCATAGAGCTTGCGGGGCTGCTCACGGGCAAGGCCCAAGAGGAACACCACCTCCCGGGAACGGAGGGCGGAAGTGGGAGATGTTTAAGCCATGCTTACCAGGTTTTGATCTGCCAGGGCCCAAAGTTGACCTTGTCAAAGTTGCGCCGCGCCGGGACCATCGTCGGCGGGGCCCCGGGGGGCGGGGCTGCGTCTCGGTCATGTACTTGAGTAGGGGACGCGGAGCGTCGCCGCTTGCGCGTATTCGTGCCGTTTGGGTGGGGCGGTGAGGCAGCATTGCGGCCTGGCGATGTAGCCTGCCGCTGTGGAGAAGTTTCGCGGACGGTGTCTGCGGGGACCCATTCGTCGAGGCGCTTGTCCGTGCCAATGTAATGCACAAAGACTTCATTAGGGCGTTGGTCGAGAACGCGAGCCTTTCCTGTCTTTGTTTTCACTCAGAGTGTTCGAGTAATCGGTGGGAATTACTTACGGTCGACACCGTTCTTGGAGACATTGAGCACCACAGCAGGGCACATGATAGTAGTAAGTTAGTGCAGTATAATGTGGTTGAGACACGACCAACACCATCACGTTCTTGCGGCAACGTGTACGGCCCGTACAACCAAGTGAAGATGACTGATAATAATGCTACACACTAGACACACGATGTCCTCATATATATGAGAGCATGCAAGTGGCCTGGAGTTAATTCATGGTGGCATGTATGCAGTATAGCATGGCGTAAAGTGGTGTGAGAGTAGGTAGAGAAGACACGACCCCAACAGTATCTCATGCTTTGGTCCCTTCATGCTCCACCGCCAGAATGGCCTCCCTCTTCTCTGCAATACGCGCAGCACGACGCTCACGAACCGCCTATGATAAACATACGACATCAGTAAAAAGAAAAACCAAAACGATAGGACAGATGGTCGCACCTTGTTCTTGATACGGCGGGCCTCCATCTGGTCGGAGAGGACCTTTGTACGAGACTTCTCCGCCTTTGCCTTGTGAATATACTCCATCAGTACACGCTTGTTCTTGAAGACATTACCCTTGGACTTCTGGTAGAGGGAATGATAGCTTTGATAAGGCGACAATCATAAGATCGCGTGAACAGTCGTGTGATAGAAAGTAGGACAGACAGATGCTTGTCAATTTTTCCCGCCTCACGATATTTTCGGAGCAACCTCCGAAGAACACGCTGCCGCCTCATCCAAAGGACCTTGGTTGGCATACGAGCCTCTGCAGTACCTTTCCGCTTTCCCACACCGGTGTGACGACCCTTGCGCTTCGCAGCAAGGAGGTCGAGGGTGCGAGCACGAGAGTGGACAGTTGTAGGTTTGATTATAATGCGACCATCCTTAATAAGTTTCTTTACGTGCGTCCGCGAGTTGGCATTGCCGATCTCTGACTGTTCGTTCGGGTCGAGCCAGATTTTACGCTTGCCGACGCCAGCGACGGATGCGGCAAGCCGCTTTTGTGAGCGAAGGTTGACCATGGTCGTGTGTCTTTGCTTATTGGTGAGTAAGGTGGATTAAGAGAGATCACTGCTGGCTAACCTTGTTCTTGAGTTTGAGGGGGGGGGTTGGCGACTTGCAGACAGATCAAAGACGTCGTCTGTTGCTCGTCCAATAGGGCGCCACCGCTGTGGCTGAAACCTTAATTAACTATAATAGTCGTTCTCACAATTTACCGGCCCGGATATCCTGTGCTACGCATTCGGCATGGTCGGTCTCACAATTAGGGTGACTAGATTGGCGAAAGGCGAAAAGAACGCGTAATTTGCAAATGATCTTACCAGGGCTGCAGCTGATCATGATGGGGGCAACTGTGAGAATCAATAACAAGTAGTCAGCAGGATTTAAAAAAGTCTTCACGCTAATCAGAGAAGGGACAATTGCCAGTGGCTTTCGGCACAACCGAGTAACGAACGGGGAAACGAATATATGTAAAAATACAATGATCGCGGCAAGCCGCATCCGAGTCGTACGGATAAACCGGAGTTTAGAAAGCACCTTTATAATAAGTTATGTAATTCTTAAAAATAGTATATTTATCAGAAAGAAATCAGAAGGGTTCCGCTGACCTTTTGGCCCTTTGGCACTCTGTGTCGCCGCCCTCACCGACTAGTTATAACCGTGTGGCCCCTCGCCCCCCTTCTGGGCCTTGACAAAAAAACATTACTTTAAAGTTTCGACTCGACTCGACTCGACTCGATACACCTTGCCTCACTTGAACGTGACCTCCACCATGACTTGTCAATAAATCGCGTCCACACGAAGCTCCATCCTTGACGACTCCTCTTTTCTCCAATACCCCGGTCTCAAACTCCACTCATCCTTCTTCTCCTCCAAAGTTTCTCTCTTCCCTCCCTTCACTACTGTATTCA